TACACCCATTTCAACATAAAGTCTACTGGTTGAAGTTTCTCATTGAAAATTTTTTAGTTTTTAACACAAGTGGTTTTGTGTTCAAACACAAAACGCAAGCCCTGCTGATTCTGTGCTCTGTCCTCTAACCACAGCATCTCTTTTGTGACAAGTCTTAGGTTTCAGTACACTTGTGGCACGTTATCAGCATTTTCACAATCAAGTCATTATTAAATTAATTGTTTATCCAGTAATATTTAAAATTGAGATAAGTTTACTTGAACATTTGAGGTCTGTTTCTTTCAAAAGAAAAAAAACTTTGTTCAACCATACTATAACTTTCAACGTAAAACTGATCCATAATGAATCAAATACTAATTTCCAAATATCCATTATGGCATTATATGACATGAAGATCTGTGATCAGGGTTCATTACAATACATATTTTTATATAGTATTTTAAAAACCAAATCATTGGTAAATTAAATTTTACAATAAATTATTAATTTTCAAATTCATAGGCCAGAAAGTAGTAAGCATGGAAACAAAGGGTTAATAGCAACAAAGATTAGCAAACAGCAAGATATTGCAGCTATCACAAATCCCAGAGACTGAATATAACTGACAATACTACATAGTGTAAAAAAAAATGTGAAAGATCCACAAACTCTTTGTAATCATATAGTGTTCTAGGTCTATAGACAATCTGTATAAAACACTAACAAACTAATAGGATATTGCAATTGTTTTCTATAATAGAAAGTTACAATTTTTTTTAAAAATACATCCAAAATAGAATTTTCCAATTTAGCCAGGTTTCAAGACATTTATAGTGATTTTTTTTTTATACAACAGCAAGACAACTACAGTGACATTGTATTGCTTACACTGAAACTGATGTACTACCAAACTGCAAAGGCTAAACAAAATGAACAGACCAGTTTCAAAATGAACAGACTGACTTTCACTGACACGAAGACCACACGACAATAATAAATGTATGGACAGATAAGTCTGTAACTGTGCAAGGTATTGGAATGAATGTACTTTTGAAAAAAGTTTATATAAAACAGTTATTTGCACTAGGAACTTTAGCAGTATGAAACAACCCACATATACATGTGCAACATATAGTTTCATGAAAAATATTTGAACTAGTAAGCTTATTATGTGTAACAGTACTCTCACCTTTAAATCATAGGATTTTAAAATGCATAAAATTGGTTTTTTTCCTTTCATGTGATTTATATTAAAATTATTTTTCTTGCTCTTAACATTGAAAATTTTGTTGAAACTAAACTTGTCCTTTCATTAGCAAAGAGTCATCTTATTTTTGGCTAGTAAATGCCACAGTTTGGTTAGATCCGGATTAGCTCTGAAAACTGTCAAGACTGCCGAAGATCAAAAAGCTGAAAAATAAGCTAGAAGTGAAATCACAAAAATACTGAGGTATTTTAACATCCACGGTGGAGTGAGCTTCAATACTCATATTTTTGTTAGCTGATTGACAATGTTACTGACAGAAACCAGTAATATTCGCCAGCCTTTCATTCAGTACCAAAGAACATTCTCTCACAAGACTATAAATGACAATAAATCACACAGGTGGTGAGATCATGTCATCATAGTGTTAGAAACACTAAGGGCCTGAGTTGAAGGTAACTTGATATGCTCTATTTAACTGAGCAGCAGTTATCTTAAAATAACCAAAACAAAACCAGAACTTCACCATTTAGCTTTTCCATGAGCTGTGCATTACTGTCAGATGACTGCAATGGTTAACACATATAAATAAGGAAAAACCATGTTCATTCCCGTATTTACCTGTTTTAAAGCTCCCATTCCTGAGAAAACCCAGGTATGCCTCATTCCTTATCAAAAACGTGAATTTATAGTTTAAGAATGATTAATGAAATAATTTTAAAATAATTAATGAAGATCATGCTGAACAAAGTGAGTAACACTGAATTAACAATCTCCAGTATGAGATGCAGCTTCTAGATCATTATGAAGACAAGAGAGATTACTTGGCAGGCAGCACAGACTGGCTGCACCCTACCTTTTTATCAATCTTGAACTTATGATGAAAATATATTATTATGAAAATGTAAGAAAACTTTCTGGGGGAAAAGGTCACTTACCAGTAGTCAGAGCTGCTTGCAATGTGTTGTAAGTATGCACTTTGGCTCTTTAGAGGTCCAAATGTCAGAGGTATCCAAGATCATAAAATGGGTGGGTTTTTTGTCCCTCATAATACACAAATGCCTGAATTTGAACAACCTCATGTGAAGCATGACGAAGGTTTTTGTCCTTATGAGTTAACACATCCTAAGAAAGTAGTCTTGACCCAGCAGTCAGTGGTGATGGCAGTTCATGCGTTACTGCAGTCGGCTAACTTGTGTTCGGACTAGGGCACAAAGGGGAAGCAAGAACAGAAATCCAGAGAAAAAGGTTCTGATGCAAAACATTCCCACACAACATTCTCCCCCAAAACATTCCAACACAAGGTAGAGTTTCACCACATTCCATGTGGGAAGAGAGCTCAGCTGCCATGGCCAGGTCCACACTAAAAGCTGTCCCCCAGCAAGTCAGTAAGTGCCAAGGCACAGCAGAGGGGGTGGCTCCATCCCATTAGGGGTCCACAGCTCTGAGTGCATTGGTCTGTGGATTGGATATGACCAATCCTGTAGTACAGTCCACCACAACACCCTTCTTTCTAAATGGGAGAGAGATAGATTTGATGGGTGGACTGTTAGATGGATAAAAAAGTGGATGGACGGTCACATCCAGAGGGTAGTGGTCAGTGACTCAGAGTCAGATGAACATCAGTGACAAGTGGTGTCCTTCAGGGGTCTGTATTATTTAATAACCAGTGTTATTTAATATCTTCATTAATGACACAGATGAAGGAATCGAGTGCACCCTCACCAAGTTTGCAGATGGCACCAAGCTGAGTGGTGTAGCTGACACACTTGAAGGATGGGATGCCATCCAGAGGGACCTGCTCTGGATGGCATCCAGTGGACCCACTGGAATCTCATAAGGTATAACAAGACCAAGTGCAAGGTGCTGCACCTGGGTCAGGGCAACCCCCAGCATCAATACAGGCTGGGAGATGAAAGGACTGAGAGCAGCCCTGCAGAGAAGGATTTGGGGGTGCTGTTGGATGAGAGGCTGGACATGACCCGGCAATGTGCACTTGCAGCCCAGAAAGCCAGTTGTGTCCTGGGCTGCATCAAAAGCAGTGTGGGCAGCAGGGTGAGGGGCAGGATTCTGCCCCTCTACTCTGTTCAGGTGAGACCTCACCTGGAGTGCTGCATCCAGGTTTGGGGTCCCAAGGAAAGACATTGATCTGTTGGAGTGAATCCAGAGGAGGGCCATCAAGTTGATTAGAGGGATGGAGCACCTCTCCAGCGAGGAAAGGCTAAGAAAATTGGGATTGTTCAGCTTGGAAAAGAGAAGGCTTAGGCACCTTCCAGTACCTGAAGGGAGCCTACAAGAAAAATGGAAAGAGACTACAAGCGGGAATGGTTTCAAACTGAGAGTAGGTTTAGATTAGCTATTAGGAAGAAATTATTTACTGTGAGGGTGGTGAGGCACTGGAACAGGCTGCCCAGAGAAGTTGTGGATGCCCTATCCTGGAAATGTCCAAAGCTAGGTTGCATGAGGCTTTGAGTAACCTAGTCTAGTGGAAGACATCCCTGTTCACACAGGGAGTTGGAAAAAGATGAGCTTTAAGGTACCTTCCAACCCAAACCATTCTCTGATTCTGTGATTCTATGATACAATCTTGTATTACAGAGCTTGGGTGCAGGAAGATCCAAGCAGCTCAGTTAGTAGAATTGACAAGAACACAGAAATTCAGGGTCAGAGGCAGTTCTCAGATTCTTTTTGACTGGTTGTGATCCTCAGGTGCTGAGAAAAACTACAGAACGCAAGAACTACAGAACTCAGTTCTCATTTAGTAGTCTCTTGGTGTTAGGGTGGCCTTGGAGCTGCTACTGCAGAGTGGGCAAGGGCTTCCTTTTAAGCTGATCTTCTGCCTAAGTAATTTTTGGTGCAACCGTGTGTTTCTTGATTGTGTGAGGCTCTTCCTCACCAGTTTTGCCAGAGAAAGAAAGAGTTTGTGCTAAATAGAACTTGGTCTTGATCCAGGATTCAGATAATCCTAAATGCTGTTGTCTGAAGTAGACCAACACTTGCACTGCGATACTTCTCTCACTTTAAGCAACAGGTAATAAATGTGCTAGGGATGTGTCAGTATTACTTGTCAAGTGAGTCACATGCCTCAAGACTGAAAAACATTAAAATCCATTCTTAGGCGGAGCCATGGAGTATGATTCAGGCAACATGTATGGAATATCTAGACCCATTTCTAATGAGGAAAGGAAAAGCAGCAGAGACCATGCTCCCATAGGGAGGGGCATTGGATTTGACAAGCTCAAATTTAAAAAATAATCATTCAGGACTGGTTGAAAAAGAGAACTACGTAGCCAAAGGCTAACAATAATAAAAAAATAAAGACACGGGCACAAGTTAAGAGGTATCTAGAATGCCTCCATCACTGGGCACTGAGTATGAAAGAGGGAAGGGTAGGGTGAAAAAGCTTTAAGTTCTGAGACCAGAAAAAAAAGGAGTATGCTGTCTTTGAATACCTGCAGTACACACTTCTCTGTCAGTTTTTCATAGTATAACCAGCTTATGTCTACTACCATGTGATATCACAACACAGTGTTCTGGTGTATCTGCAAAACAGTACCGAATCTTCGCTGCTTCACTTCTGATCAAGTGCATCAACATAACAACAGAATATTTTAAAATGTGAACTTCCTCTACTTTCCCTGAACTTGTAATGGTATCCAGTGTTCAGTTCAGCAAGAAACAACTCTCTTCAAAACAAAAGCCAAAACTAAGTTTGGTCTTGTTTGCATGGAAACACTGGCTTTTTCAGGATGTTTGATCATGTATTTTCAATTTGATAAGTAAGAATGAACTAGTAGCAAAACACTGAGAACACAACTTGGAGAGGAAAGTTAATTTATTTCTCTAAAACATCACACTAACTCAAGATACCTTAGTTCAGTCAAAGCTTCTTCAGTTTCCTCATAAGCCTGGACTTCATAAACAAATATTCCAAGTCCGTCTATCTACAAAAATAGGATAGACAATTCTTACTTTCTTCAGATATCAAGTTAATTTACAAGTCCTTGAGGATAGATGAAAAATAGGAAGTGATCCTATATCATAATACACTCCACCATGTTTCCCAAGTGTACTGGAAAGGAGGAATATGAGCCTTCTTTGGAAAGGTGCATTGGAAGGCTTACTACCATCTCTTGGAGACAGGGTATGCATTTACATCACCATGACTGCCATGGTACAGAATCCTGGACTGCTACTTTTATACGGCATGACCTATGATCTGGGAGTTGTACTCTGCTGTCTCCATTCGCAGAATATATGGGATGATGCTATCAATCTGGACATTTCCAATTAGTCCTGCGAAGAACAGCTCTTCAGTGATGGCAGCGCTCATCAGCCTAAGAGCAGGCAATCGGAGGAGAAGTCTAGACAGTCTGGAAAATAAGTTTGGTAAAAAGTGTTACTTGGCAGATCACAGATTTTGGTGTTATTCACAATGAAGTTATTAGTTAAAGAAGAGAAAAAATTGACAAGGGACATTACTGGTCAAAATTTCTTCTATCTAGTTAATGAAAGGCTTAAATATTTGAATCAGGAGAGCATCAAATTTATGTTTAATCATGTCTTTAACAGTACAGAACATGTGAGTATGCCTGTCAATTACATGGACTGTATAATGTTTGGATTTAGTGTAAATGATGAAATATTCCAAATAGGTGCAATTCAAATTGAATGTTAATAATATTTATTTCTGATCTTTAATTTTAGAAATTAATAATGAATGAGTAGACAAATAATACTCATAGTATGTATGAGCACATGCATAATATTTGAAGTGTTCTAAAGGTAATTTTTTACCTTTAAGGAGGTAAGAAGAAAATGTACATTATCTATTACATGAAATACTGTACAAATCAGTACCATCAATGACTCTGAAAAGACAATCAATCAAGTGAGCATCTAAATTTACAGACCTGTAAGTATCATCTGGATATGCCTTTGTTACATAGTCCTGGAACTCCATATAAGCCTTTTCTTGAAATTTCTCAATCTGTACCACATTTTCTAGACCTGGGTGATCTGAAAAAAAAAACCAAAACAAACGCTCTTCATTGTTATACCTGTTCTATACAAGCTGCATTAAAATCCATCCAGATTTTCCAACTGTAAACACTGAAATAATTATATGGTAGCTGCAGCAACTCCACTTTTAGCGGAGGACACTGCTTCCTTATATTTATCTTCCCCTAGGCTTATGTTTTACTTAGCTTTTCATAAATAAAACCAGACATTTTGAAGAGTTCAAATAAATTCAGTGCTTGCAATGTTTACATTAATCTTGATGATACCACTCTCTTCTCTGCGTAGCAGTAGAACAGCATTGTTTCAATACACTGACATTTGCTGAAATATTGTATGCACAAATAGTATTTGGGTGGGATGTGAAGGATAAAATTAAGATCAACAGAAAAAGCAGAATAAAAAGCTGTGAACCATTTGTTTCCTAAAAACTGTGAAAGATATATAGCAGATAATTTTTTTTTCAACTATTTGGTGCAAAAATTTCAAATGTGCTCCACATAATTTTTAGCAGTGATTTGAACACTTGAAGTCTTAATCTTGCTAAAATAAGGTCATATTAGGAAATTATTATCCAGTAATTCTGAACTCTCTACATGGTCTGTAATTTTTATTATCCATCTTAATGAAAAAATTTTACTGTCATAGTAGCATAACAAATCACATAGATTTTATTTTGCACAAATGGCATCTTAAATGAGCTGCCAAATTTTGTGAGATAAAAGACTGTTTCTAACAGTCACACTCCTCTCCAAATACACAAAACCAGTAAACAAACCCAAGAGATTTTTGCTCTGTGGATAAAGAAGCTTTGGAAGCAATTCAGCAGTTAGGTGATACGTTGCACTGCCCTGAATGCGTTATTTCACAGAGGAGTATTTTGTTCTATATAGTAATTCAGTCATACTGAAAGCGTGATTTCGAATTCATGCAGAGGACAAGAGGTTAATTAGTTCATACAAAGCAACATATTTTGAAGAGTTATCACTGTCAAGTAAAAAGCACCACTTCATGGCGTCTCTTTTAGAGCAATGTCAGGAACGCAGCTGAAAGTCAAGTTCTGGAAACAGTACTTTGAAGATCACTGCTAGTACACTTGCAGCCAAGTCTTCTCGGCACACCCTTTACACTGATCTCTTTGCCCAAGGCTGTCCTGTGGCAATCAAACAGCTGGCTTGGCACAGAAGACAGAAAATCACCAGGGCCTACTAAAGCAGAGGTTCTTAGCCTAGGGCTCCGCTGCATGTGCAGCCCAGCCCCATTCTGTAGCAAAGCAGTAAAATCCCTGCAATTTCTGGCCTGTGAATCATTGCCAGAACAACCTTCCGTTCAAGATACTAAACATGACTTTCAGGTACATGAAGATTTTGTTATATGGCTCACAGGATCAAGAGTATTGAGAACATGTTGCCATTAAAGCAGATACACATCATTAGTAATGTGATCCTGAAAACATGTGAGCTAAAGAAAATTTTTCTCCATCATGTGACTGGATAGTCTTTTCCCAACATATTTTTCCTTCTACCTTATGTGTTGTCAAGTATAATTGGAAGGAGATAAATAAACTTCAATCTGAACAAATAAGTAAATATTGTTTTGCAAGAGCAAGGTTCCTAGACTAGAATTTTCAGGTGTCTGACAGGACTGATTTTTCCAAAGGATTCTATCATAAGTCCTAGTGGACATCATTCTAAGAAAAAGGGCTTCCATCATTTTCTTTGTATGAGTAAAATGTGTACAAGTGTGTACAATGTGTACAAGTTCTCAGTATAGGAATGCCATGAAAGGACTACTTTGGAGTAAGAACACCTAAAAGAGAATTACATCTCCTGCAAGCATTATCTACTAAAATTAAACCAGCACCCTCCTGCCATTCACTTTGAGAAAATCTCTGCCTCTTCTGAAATAATGACAAAAAGTCCAGGCAACTCTTCAGTCCTCAGCAGAAGAGAAAAACTGCAAACATTTTCAAGCATGCTTAATATTGTGTTTAAACTCATGGCGGGTCCTGCTTATCAAGAAGCTGAAACTGTTCCTGTGATTCAGTGGACTGTAAAAGCAAACACATAAAACCATGCAAGACCTTCCTAGTCACGAGGACTGACAACAGGATTATGTTCCATAATGAAAACACACAGGATCTGATTTTCGTTAGTGATCCACAGTAGAAGAGTATCACTGCAATATCCTCTGGGAATTTAACATCTTTCTTGGAAAGTTCTGACTCTACTTATAGCACTTCTTATTTGCAAGAATTGTTTCATCTCAGAAATCTTCCATTAATGCAATGCATGTGTGTGTGTGTGTATCAATGGAAGATACACAGGGTTTTGTTTGCGCACTCAGATGAATGCCATGAATTCCTGCTGATGCTGCCACTCTTACTGGGAGATATAGATACTTCTTGTAGATATTCCATATAGAAAAGATCATGCAAATATGAGGGAAACTGCAAAGCAAGAACCTCACAATATATAAATTCTATATATTAGAATTCACATTTTGGGAGTGTCCAAATTCCAAAAAATTTGCTCACCTAACTGATTTTTCTGTGAAAGGGTGAACTGCAACTGAGTGGAAAAAGAAAGGTTTTCTTAGATCTAATAAATCTACAGAACTGACAAGAACCAAATACCCAGCTCTCCTCCATGTCCTACCCTACAGACAGGGGAAGGTCACTAAGATTCTGTCAGCTTTTTAACATCTGCTCCAATCTTTTCTATGGGACATCATCATCTACAAAAGGCAGAGCAACAAGGATTAAGGAAGCTGTTGATGCCTTTAAAACTTTCGAATGCAAAATGGAGTGACTGAAGATTTACTTTCTAAATGTGACAGTGAAAAAATCTTGGAGATACAGAAAGTACTTGAAGTTTATAAATTTTTCTTTTATCAAATATTTGGTTTTGGCTTTATATTAAATCCCAATTCTGAATGATGAATCTAAGACCTGCAGGATACTGATATAATATCTGAATGCCTTTAGTGAAAAGTTAATTCTACAACTTTCAAATAAAGAAAATTAATTTTGTAATTTCTACAGTCCAGTTATACTGGTGACACAATCTAATCACTCAGTCACTATCTACCATAACCAGAGGACTCTTTCCTCCTTATTGTAGACTAATCACCCATAAGGAAAAAATAATTATTTTACCTTCACTGTCTAATATATGTGCATTAACACTAGAGGGAGTACATTAAGCAAATGCTGTTTAGAAGACAGAAATAATAATAATATAAGGGAATGTTTGTGGTGTTCACTCACCAGAAACGCTATCTGCGTTATTAAAATATCTGTGTGGAGTAAGGTGATGTTTCTGTAATTTTGCATGTGAGAATCGATGACCAGAGAGATAAATCTTTCATATGTTAAAAACACAACTTCAATCCATCTCAGCTGGATGTGCAAGAGCAACACTTCGGAAAATTAAACTGCAGGTCCTCAGAAAATGTACCCCAGAAAAGAGGCACATAATTAAGGGTGATAAATAAATAAATTAAAAGGAAAAAAAAAACAACCAAAAAACCAAACCCAAACCAACAAGAAGCATCAGTGGCAGAGGTAAGAATACGACTCCCAAATAAAAAGAATTAAAGTCCCCCTGCAAAAAAAGTCCCCAAAGCAACATCCAACTATTTACATTAAAAGATTAACCCTCCTTTTCCTACAGTCCTCATTACACACCCTCCAAGATTCCTCAACAAATGAGGCAGTAATTCTGCAAATAACAGTATGATGAAACAGGCAGAAGTTATATGGCAACAAATAACACAGTTAAAGTTTTACATTTGGAATAATTACATACCAGGACTGAAGAGGACGATAGCTTTCAAATATGCATATTCATATCCATCTAGACAAAGCTTAACCATGCTGTTACAGAACTCTTGCAATTTGAAGACATGCTCCATTACTAGTCTTCCTCTGTCTGTTGGCAGCTTATCTGAGTCAACACACACATAAATATAAAATGCCAAGTCAACACACATGCAAAAAATGTGCTCACACCGGAATATTAAAAATAATTATTTTATTAGATTCAAACAGTGGGAAATCTACGCCATCTATAAATTCCTATTAGGTCTGAATAATCTTGACACCAACAATTAATGGACTGTAACAATCCCTTTTCCCCCCTTTAATTGTACAGTAAGGACTCCTCCTGCCACTAAAGCCTCCAGTAATCAGGCATGGACTAGAGCTTGAAATGATCGAGGAAGGAAGAGACTATGTGTAAGTAAAGAATACACTGCTATTGCAGCTCCGTGCTCCATGTCTCAGGGTCAGGTGCCATGCAGCAGGTTAGTGTACAGCTTCATGGGTTATCTTAATCAAAGACCACCTCACTGCTGCTAAAGGTGTACTATACACCTTTCCTGATCTGCATTGAGAGGAATGTGGTTGGTGCACAGCTGTTCCCTTTGGGCCAGCCTGAAAATCCCATTCCCTCCATAATCCATCAAACTAAAGCCCCTGGATCCCACAAACCTGTTATCGCTTGGATATACTGCAGCTGGCATACTGCACAACTGGTTTTTGCATTCAAACTGAATTCCCTATTTAAATGGTAGAAATATGGATTTGTAGTAATGATAAAAACATGATTAATTACTAAAATACCTGTTTTGGTGAACATGCTTTAAAAATTACATAGATCATAGTTTACAGATTCCATTTATATCCCCCCTAAAGACAATCACAGTTTTGTTAGTATCTTTAGCTAATCCAGTACATTTTGTTGTTGGATCAGGTTTTTTTTAACAATTGTTATTTATAGGAGCATCTTGTGGATAGTTTTAAATCATGAAAATCACCCAGAAATAGTTCTTCAATTACCTAATCATAAAAGAAGATGAAAAATCTATAGTCAAGTGAGCTGTCCTTTTCCAGCTGACCAAGCTGTGTTTGCATAGCATCAACAACAGTGAATTTTCATATCCCTAACAGCAAACAACTCAAAAATCTAGTTAAACCTGAAAATGCTTAGATATTTGTATGTGCATGTGCCTTATTAATAATGAGTTAGGACTATGAACTGATGAAGACTATTGACTGGTTAGCTTTTAGTGCTGACAACCTTGTGAGCGTTCACAAGCACACAAAGATTAGCTAAAAGACTCCTCTCTTGCTCAGAAGAACAAATGAAAGAGGTCAACTGACATGTCTTTCATTTGAATATAAATATGCCAAAGATGCAGGACCATAGGATTAACAAGGAACAAAGTGTATTTAGGGAAGATCTGATGAAGACTTGCATCTAGACTAAAACTAGGATAAAGAAGTCAACAAGCCAAGTTATGTAAAGGAAGTGTATCACCAAGTTGGCGTTCAGCTGCTTTGTGTCACAGCTATGAAAAGGACAGGTGGGTCATTACTTTATACACTTGATACAGGGGAATCATATTCACAGTACACTTGTGTTCTCAACATTTGATCTTGTCCAAAATATTCCTAATTTGGGCTGATGATATTAACAGAACAGCAGAGCACTATTAGACATTACCATACATAATAAAATCAACCCCAGTAAATGCCAATCCATATTAGACAGATGGATTATTGTTATATATATGTATATTTATTTCTTTTTAATTTGGAGGTAAATATTAGCATAGTTGATTTTTGCAAAATTGCTAAAAAATTCCATCTTGTGAACTGAAGTTTCTAGTATTATTTATTTCAATACTAACCATGAAATTCTATAAACAGCAAACTTACATTAACAACTGAAGGATAAGTAAAAAGTTTCTGTGCAGTTCAAAACTTAAAAAAATCAAGTAATTCCCCAAGTGTGATGTGTGCACAGTATACAACTTACCTTGCTGTAAACTGCCTTGAAGGTGATTAACAAATGCAGATAATATAGTTGCCACATTCATAACTTGTGAACATTGTGCTAGACCAAGCGTAAAAAGTTCATTCCAGCAGGCTTTTACTAATGATATGCTGTTATCCTGTCTATTAAAAAACACAATAATTTCACTTAATAAAACCAGCCATTTGCATTCATACTTCTTTTTAATTTGAAGAACACTTCATAAAATATTAATTTAATTCAACCATTGCAACCACTACCAAACTGAAGCCCTGCATCCTTTTTCTCTTCACGCTAGAATTAAAATACCTGGTTTAAAGTGACTTTTGTAAAGAAATTGACCTAAAACGAGATAGATTTCCATCACAAAAGTGAGCTGAAGTAACAATAAATGACAACTGTCGCAGCATACTCCATCGTGCTAGTTTTCTTAGGATTTACACTAGTTTCTGAATAACATTTACATGCATGGACAAAAAAAAAGTTTGCACTGTCCCTGTACTGTGGATGTAGAACAGACTCAAACGTCTTTTTTTTTTTTTCCTCACTTGAAAACGGACAGGTCGGTATAACTTTTTAATTAAAGATAGGTGTGAAATGGAACATGTGAGATCAAGCTTTCGAGCTTCCTGACTGCTATTTTCTGCATTCCTTTCATGTCTGGAATAAAGGTTTGAAATACAGACTTCAAAGTATAAGTAACAGTCATGAGGATTTCTTTGCTGAAAGAACCAGTCCTTACATTCAGCTTCATGCGTAGTCAGGATTTTTTTTCAAATGCTGAAACTTAAAATTAAATATATCAATGCAATCCAGCCACTTCCATATTAGTAACCTAATTTTCAGTAATGCCAAGCATCTCTAATTTGCAGAGCTTAACAAGAGCTCAGTACTTTAAAAAGGAAATCCTACCAGTAAGGAGTCAAAGTCAGGTACCATGTTTCACAGTTTTATCCAGTGAATATAAATAATGGAAATCTAAAAGAAGCACAAGACCTATCAAGGAAGAAAAGCATATTAAAGCTAGGATTTCAACTACAAAAATACAATGGAATAGATTTTTGCAGGAATGAAGCTGTAATCTTCAAGAACATTTTTGATGATTTGCTGCAATACAAAGATGCCAAATGACAGGTGAATGTAGCCTTGTTCTTAACTGGATTACAGAAACCTTACTGAGGGCAATGTTTTTTACTATGATCAAGTTCTTGGAAGACATGATACTGTACATATGGCTTCTACACATATTTGTCACATCCTCATTCAGCTCCTGTCAAAGGGACTGTGCTGAGAAACAGTGAAAAAAAGGCGTACTGGCTACTCATCTGATATGTGTGTAGATAAACATCTCATCTAGAGCATCTTTAAGGCTGATCAAACTTAGACCAGAACCAGCTCTCAAGTTTGCTTAAGCAGCCTCAAAACACTAAGAGGCTGTAACCAGCCTGATGAACCTTTCAGAAAGAAACTCTCTTGCCTACCAAGATGCTCGTGCAGGAAGGTGAACTAAGCAGTGATTTGGTATCATGATTGGGCCAAAGGCAACTATCTTGATGTGACTAAGGAGAACATTGCCTGAGAAGGGAACCATCTGGATATCCATCCAATTATCCATCTTCCTTACAAAACCATTACTATGGTTTTGGTTTGGCTCATCAGCTCCATGAATTTCTCTTCATTTAAAAAGTGAAATGAGTCACCCTTCTAAAAGTCAAAATTATAAGACATACTGTGCTCAAACTAAAAAGACTGCATTAATTTCAAATAAATTTCCACTTGAAAATAGTTCCTATTTTAAGGCTCTTCAAAGGGAAAACTATATTGATGTTAAATGGTGTTTAAATATACTGTTGCCCATGATCTTGTCTGGGTCTGTAAATGCTAGCATAGGTGAATATTAACACTATTAAGACAGCTTACTCTTCCATATTTTTTACTCAGAAAAATATATTGGGAAGTAACATATTAAAAGAACACGTGCAGATTTTTCTATAAGCATGTCTTGCTAGATCTTTTTGGAGAGACAGGTCTTCTGTATAACATTTTATTTTTAAAAAGCAATTCCCATTTTTCATTAGAGCACTAATTTGCAGTGTCTCTCTGTTACAAACACCTTTTAAAAAATGATAACAATGTAATGTACTATGTTCATTTGCTATGTATTTTTAAATTATGCAGGGCAACAATTTCTACCAAAATAAAACATCATATTTACCTATTTTTTACCTTTGCTATTCTTTAACTATATAGAATATTCCTTTTTCCTTCTCCAAAACACAGGATTAATTACACACAATATAGTGTTTTTCCTTAAATAGTGTAGAATCATTTGGTTTAAGCATCTGAGTAAATACAAATGGTAATCAGATCATCCTGCTTTTGACAGCCTTCCTGGAAAAGGGGACAATCCCTCATTTTAAAATAGCATTCTCTTTGCTGCCACAGTCATACGCTATGAGATGAGAGCAATGCATATGAGAGCAAACATGATTTATACTCCATTTGTGTCAGAGCTGATACACTATCTTTATTTGTTTGATGTATCTTCATAAAATTACTTCTGAAAATAACATGTCAGTTTTCCCCATGCAGTTTTGAGATGTTTTTTCATGACAATAAGCAATGGACTACTACATTTAGCTTATGAATTTTAAGTGATACATTGAATTCCAATGGAGAAGCAGGATGTTATACCAACTGTAAAAAGAATAGTAAGAATTACTTTCTGGTTACAGGAACTATTTTATTTTTAGAAAATCCTCTGAAATTAGACAACTTCATTCTGAACCTTTAATGAATCTAGCTAACCATTTTATTTATAGAGGTTATTAAAGGCAAAATTACTACTACTAATTTATCTTATAAAGGTAAAAATAAAAAAGGAGCTTTTATTTGATGATTGCCTGATAAGCAATCAGGACATAGCCTAAGGCTGTAGCTATTAAAAAACTGATAGGAATTCCTATTTACTAAAATTATATCAAAGCAGCAGCAGTGTGCAGGCATTTGATTGTTATAAATCTACTGCTTTTTCCTTCAAAACCCAACCAAAATCCTGAATTAGACTCAAATCAGGAGTAGCTTTAATTCAGAAAGTTTACCTTACTAAGATTTATAACAGTTTTAATAAGTAGTTTTATATCAAAAAGTCCCCGAAGAAGACAGCAAAAATAAAAAATTAAAAAGCACATATTCACAACATAAGTGAATAGAGTAACTGAACACTTACCCTAAAGCTTGGAAAGATGGAATGGAACGTGCCCAGTGCATGGACAAAAAAAGCAACCTGGAGGCAGACTCGCAGATATAGTGAACGTTAAGATAATCAGGCATAGGAGAAGGCATGGTGAGCTGGCAATCACAGAAAAAGTGCAAGATTTTTTACTTTCTTCATAATATGTTTAGAAAAAATTCAGTCTTAAGAGTTTCTTTTAAGTGAAAAAGTAAATTGTTTTTTTAAATAAACATGATATAATCCTGACATAAAATTGAATGACTGACTTTTTCATTATTAGCCACACTTATATGCTATAGTAACTAAAAAGCAAGAAAAAAGGCAAAAATTCTGATTCGAAGATAAAGACTCCTGTCTGGGACACCTGGAGATGGAAAATCCCAAATACAACTCAACTTTTGAGACACTCAAAGAATAAGAGAGAAGAATCATTGTAACTGGAATGAAGTTGCTTACACTAAAGGGGTTACCACAACTCCTGAAGAGAGTGTGTGTGAAAGAATTCTATGTCACATCTTTTTTTGTACTTTCAATTAATATTTTACAAAGAAATACATCAAAAATATTTTGATGTGTGAGTAAAATACCTAATACACAGATGCTCCCAAAATATATAACCAATATACATCAGAAAGGACCAGCTCTACCTTTCTCCATGTCCATGAGTAAAATCAGTGACATTACTTGCATATGTGAAGAAAGTGAGATTTGACTCAAAACTGCTAATTATAGCACTGTAGTTCCATCTTCAGAAATTAATAGTACTTAATATAACAGTCTGGCTAACACAATTAAAAAAAAAAAACCCTTAACATTTGCCTTAGAGATGTTTATTCGACTGATCAAAACAGATGCTGATAAGAGGGGTAAAGGTTAGTCAAATACCTAGTATTGAAGAAGTTTTCAGATGAGCAAGCTTTTTTGATTTGTCCATGAATAATATGAAGAGGAAAAAAAAGGGATAGAAGAATTTCTGCAGGCTTGTAAAATGAGAAATAACGCCAGAAAATATATGGCTCAGTAACACCGAAACTGTATTCTCCCTTAATCATTAAAGTCAATTAATACTAAAATAGGGTATCTACACAAAGAAGAAACTGACAAATACACTTAAAAGTCTCAAAATCCAGTTGCAGATTGCATCAGATCCACTGCTGTTAACAAGTGAGAATGTGGATGCTGACTCTGCTTCATGCGACACTTTGTCTGTGTATATCTTCTTGCATGGATTATCCAGTATTTTTAAGGTAAAAAACTATAAAATAAAGAGTGCAGCTAAACCACTGAAGAGTGCTGTGTTTTTTCCTAAACAGTTAACCAGCAAACAAAAGTAGTGTTCATAACATTAATTCATTGGAAATTAATGCAAATACCTGAACTAATAGTTACTAATAATAGTTACTCCTCTAAGAAATTCAAAGTAAGATTTAATCAGATAATTATTTTACATTACTATGTTAAAATGGTTATAAATAGTCAACAGTAACAAAAATATTCAGTACCCTGAATGCTACGTGAGCATCACTGAGTAGTGGCCCCTCTATTTCAACGACACTCGTGCTTGTTTCTCCACCAAGCAGCTGTGCATTGGCATCAATACTTTCAGAGTTCTGACATGCTGCGCTCTCTGCTGGATTTAATGCTTTTGCAAGAGTATCAAATGCCCTGTAAGATCACAAACAAGCAAACAAACAAAAAGAAATAAACTTTCATTTTAGAGACCGTTTCAATTTAAGAGCAAAATGCATGAATCTGAAACCTGTATTTAAACGTCTGTTTAAAAGAATGAGGTTTGGAAAATAAAAGTCAGTAACATACTTTTCCTGACATTCCACTGAACTCTGAAACAAAAATTAGCAGCAGATCCTGTTCACACAAGTTGCCAACAAATTCACAGTTTTGACATATTGGTTGTGCTGCTGAATCACAGTTTGCCTTTCAAGATCTCTTTAGTGATGTTTACTGAGAGTGCTGGCATGAGCATTTTGAGGACCTGATCATCAGATGCTGTTACAGTCACTTAGTGCACATATACATTTTACAGGTTTTTACTGATAAGAAGCACAGAGTAAGATTTTTTTTTGTTAAGTAATGAGTTGTGGTTAGGTTTTTCAACTGAATTTGAAAAGACTGCTTCAAGCTATGTAAGAGAAAGCACTCCCATGCTTTCAATACCATCCTTAGTACCCTCTGATGTGTGGCAGTGACTCCTGTCTGTCACAAGCACAAATATTAGAGTGGAGATGTCACAACAAGCATAGATATATTACTCAGTATTTTGCTGCTTGATAAGAGATGCATTTTTTTTCTCTTCACAAATACACCTGAGAACCACAACTGACACACCTTCAATTAAAAATACACAGACTTGATCACTGCCTACAGACAGATGACATATCCTGAGAGCAGCATCATTTGTATGCAGTGTTACATGAAAAACTTACACAACTGAGGTCTGAAAACTTCACAAAAGCTGATTATCAGCTTGTATGTAGAGCTAATTCTCAACTCGTAGAGGTGTTTATTATCACAGAGTCTAAAATCACTGATTTAATGCTGAAGTCTGGAGTAGAACTTTGCCACCTTCTCTTCCCCCTCCGCTCCCTAGCTCACTGAACTCACTAACATGCTAAAAAAACTAGATGTTTGATGTAAGCATTTACAACCAAATGAACCATCACAATGAAAGAGCTGCTGACACTGCCTCAAGGCTTGAGATGGTAAATGAGCTACTTTTTGATCCTCACTAGACTGTATACATGTGTACACAAGAGGGTGACTGGGCATACAAGAGGTATATGTGGGCCATTTTCTGTCTCTGGCAAATGCAAAGTAGGCACAAAGGGAACGTATTCATGGCTAAGCTCTACAAGCTATACAATTGGAATCCTGCCAGGAGATTTGAGTTTCAGGTCTTGCATGGTTCACTCTTTGCAGTCTTAGGTAGAACAGGCAAACCTCGCAGCTCAGTGGAAGGTGCTTTTTAGGAAAAAATAGAATCTCTGCAGTGGTCTTCATGTGGCAGGGACAGAAAGGTAAGAGAGGAACACGACCTCCCCTTTCCCCAAAAGCTAAATGTCATATGCATCTGTCACTATCCTGTATTTATTCAGCACAGGCTGAAGAGTCCTTTTTTAATAGTGTAGGCAGGTACACTGGTTAACCATGTCTGCCTATGATACTTTTTTCCTCATTCTTGTTGTAGCAGGAGTAAGCCAGCAGAAGCCAGTAGTGACTTTGCTTCCTCAGGGCTCAGCTTTGTGGGTCTTTTCCTGACATGAAGCCTCAACATGAGCAATGACTGTAAGGTAAAACACCAATGAAAAGAGAATCTAGAACAAAGCTTGCCTGAAAGCTACAAAAGTCTAGCCTACAAAGTGAGAGAAAAAGGCATAATCCATAATAAAATACATGCTATTGATATCCTTTGCTATAAACTACTTTGGTTCTCTTTTCATCAGGCTTAGTCACTGACAGATATACAGGACTGCAGATAAACTGTAAAGAATGAACATAATGAAGCATTAGAAGACAAGGCATATAAAATTACAATATAAAAGTAGTGGGGTACTAGCAGCAAAAGTTGTACACTATGTTCATAGCAGCAATAGTGAAAGCATAACTACTGTAGCTGAAAGCAATGAAATATAATAAAATAAAAGTATGGATGGATAAAATGTACTCTCTGAAATCCCTTAAACTCCTTTTCTTCAGTAAACATCTCTGTCTGACAGATCAAGCTGGCATAGGGCCTGACAAGAAAATCAGTGATGTAGAGAAAAATTTTAGTTTCTCCTTGGGTAACAACTTTCCTTTCAAAGGAATGTTTAACTTGAATCTCCCCACTGTAAATCTATTATGTAACCTACTGGACATGAGTATGCTGAGTCAGAGCTCTTTCAAGCTCTCTGGCTGAGAGAACCTGATGCCTTTTCAAACACAGATTTTTAAAACTGAACAGAAACTCTGAACTTGGCAAAAAAAAGCATCTGAAAGTGCAAGGAAATAAAAGATTACTACATCTCTTTGAACAGCCATAGTACTGAATGATGTTTATCAGCACGTACAACAAAGCTATTTACACATCATATTGTTACACAGCATATTCTGTACCTAGGAGGACACAACAAAAGCCCAAATCAGCATCTGTAGAAGTCAGATTGACTTTCTAAGCAGTATATAAAGAAAGGAGAAGAAAAAATGTAATCTGCTTGCAATTATGCAAAGCAGTAGAGACCACAGGGGAAATCCTGTATTTCAGTCAGTACAAACCACTATATGCCCACCTTTTTTCTCTTAATGGGTTTACTCCACACACACATTTTCAGAACAGCATGTACAATGTAGATGGTGTGTAAAAGAATATTGCTGAGACAGCTGTCAGAAGCTGGCATGAGATGACAACCAAGGAAGAACATGACTGTGATTGCTGGAGTAACTGAGTACATGCTACACAGAATATCTTGCACATATTCTCACCACAAAGGCTCAGTTAAAACCAGGGCAAGTTTGTCGGATAAAACCTACAAATTTGTAGGATATTCACTGAATGTATTTGTATTAATAGTGAGAATTCTGTGACTTCTTCTGTGTAGAAGGAAAATGCTTTTTAAGCTTTTAAGGTGATTAATAGTTACAAGCATTAAAATGCTCACACAGGTGAGATCTCTTATGAACCAGTCTTCCAGGATGACACCAAGTACCAGGACTATAGTACAAGATCTAACATACCTTACTTAGTGTGGCCAACCAAAAGGTAAGAAAATCAGCTGTAACATTTAAATTGAAATTAATTTCAAGTACAAACAAATAAAAGGATTTATTTCTCAAATGGAACTTCCTTTGATTTCAACTTGGAAGAATCTTACAGATTTATCTTCTACGTGAGCTTATGCTCTTATTACTATTACTTTTATAGCAGATAAATTTTCTAATTGTGATGATTTAATCGGTCTGAATTGACACAGACATTCCCAAAAAGAGTAATATTTTCAAATGTAACATGCCTTACCTTGTAACATCACTACTAGCTTGTTCTTCTTGCTTGAGTTCAGATAATGATGCATCTCCATTACTTAAACTCTCAATCATAGATAGCTCTGTACTACTTTGTGATATGTCTTTGCATTTACTGAGATTTGCTAATGAAGTCACCACATTTGCCAGTGTACTTAAATCTCCTTGACATGCTTCAACCTAGGGGAAAAGAACAGTTAATTCTCAGTTAATTGGCAGCAGTTAACCTGCAATAGAAGAGTCTAACTTTTACATAAATGAAGAATTGAGCATATGCATAGACCTGTAAGAAAACTATTTTCAGTAAATAGGTAATCATCATACAGCAATTAGACACTGCACTGCATCTAAAATATGAAATATTTAGACATTTACTTTTAAAAGTAATAGCTACCTATTTCTTTCAAAAAGAAATACTGCAGGTGGTTACGCAAGTACAGGAAGAGGATTTATCTTCTCTACTCACAAGTCAGTTACCAGGACTATAAGACTGCACTTGATTATATTTTTAGCATCTTCCTTTCTTCCTCGTGTAATTATGTCAGTAGTAATAGGGTAGGAGAATGTTTGAAAAGAAGGAATGCATAACAAGTCACCTTTAAAAGCAAGCAGAAAAAGAATTCTGCTGCAGCCTTTTTGGTGTTTATGTCTTTATATAACTCCAAGTGAACAAGGTGATTCAGTACTGACCAGCAACTCAGAGAGGCAGTAAGACATGTTTTCCACATCATTACAGACAAGTATGCTGCTGCTAACACCAGCATGCTACCTGTCACTTAGCTTGTGTTATCATACTCTACAGAGCCAGAAAAGTGAAATGGAATGAACAAGTTCTGATGGGGCCCTTTGCAGACAGAGCAAGCAAGGCAAATTGCATGAAAACAGTATGAGGTAATTTAGTATCAATTAGAAAAATACAAAAGCTTCCTACTGTGCATATGTAGGGAAGTTACCCTGCAGCTTTAGTGGATCAGGAAGTGTAACAAAAGGGGAAACAAACAAAACCAGCTCAGAAATAAGACTGTTGCTGAGATAGCTCTTATTTGCTCTACAAAAATAGTAGTGATTCAGGGGAAAAAAATCCAACAGAATTTATGAAATGCGCTGTGATAATGCCAGGAGAGGTTTTCTGAACACCTCACTTTATTCATACAAGGGAAATAGCCAAGTATAAGGACTTCCCAACACAAAAATTAAAGTAATGTAGCCCTTAAAGCTGTCTAAAAATGTGAAGGAAGGGCATTTACTTTGTAGTGTTTTTAGCATTCTTACTATGTGAGGCTAAAAGGATTCTTGTAAAGACAAGACATTTCCAACACTGGCTAACATTCTAAAGCAGTGTTTTATAATTAATTTAACCAAACAGAAGTACAACAGAACATCCTTCCTTACATACACAATTACAGCAATGAGCACTACTTAATGTATCTGTCATATCATCACATACCTTATCTGGAGTCATCAGCACAGTAGGTTCACTTTTTATTGCAGATGGATGAATGTTAACAAACATCCCTGATTCCAGCAGACCTGTTGATCTGACAGAAATCAGTGCAAATTTTAATTTTAATTAATTTTAAAACTGAATTTTCCTCTTCCAGCAGAGATAGCTACTTCTGAGTATAACACATACCTTGCTGTTTCATTGTCTGTTACAAAAGTTGGAGTTGCAGCTAACGGACTACGAAGATCTTTCCGAATGTAGATCTTTTCTGTAGAAGCTGCACAGTTAGAAGATTTTTCTCTTGACACTTCAATAGGTTTCCTCTCACACTGCACAGCTAAAAAAATAATACCCAACTATTAAATCACAGCCCAAATTACAGACTAAGAAGTAATACTTCTTTTCTCTATTTAATATTCAATTTTAATAATAATTCTGAAAATAACTAAAACATATATAAAATATATCCCATAACCAACAACCTAGGAAGTTGGGTAAAAAACAGCAAACTGATTTGATTTGTCCTAACTGAAATGATGTGGTAGTCAGAGATCTAACACATAGATGCTAAAATTTTCAAGTTACAATTAAGGGATAAATCCCCTTATATCCTATTTTTAATCTGAATCAAAGTGGAAGCTTAAGGCTTCTTGTTCTCTCAGTTTGATGATCCCACACTCTTACTTCCTTTGTAAAGGACTCATAGTACCTTTTTCCATGGATTGTGGGTCTGTGTTGAACCCACATAACTTTATGCACTTAAAGAAGCTTCTCCAGTTAGGACCTTAGACAATACAGAGGGAAAGGGACATTCACAAAGTTCATTTCAGACCACTTAAGATCAATCTGGGCAACATCCTGACTCACAATCACTGACCTCAGAAAAGAAGCAAGATTTTTAATTTGAATCCCTCAGTGAAACTAGGTGGAATGACTCACGGGCTTTAGCCTACAAATTTATCACCTTGGTTTGAACGGATTAGAGAACATTAAAATGAAACTTACAGTACTATACCCTACAGGAAAAATGTGGAAGTGTGGAAAATGTGTAACTAAAGAGAAAAAATTAAAAAGCTTTCAAATTAGCAATACACTGTGATGTTATTCAAATTTTATGTTGATAAGTATCATAAACCCCAAATGTCATAATATCATCAAGTATTGACAATGCCATTAAAGTCAGCCTGCAACTCAAAAATAGTACTTTGAAAGGCTGGGAGATGGAGGCAAGTATTTCATCTTCCTTTGCTAACCCTGTGCTTGCTAGCAGCATCTGACTTTGCTGAAAAAAGGCATTAAGATCCACTTTCTGAATTAATTTCCTCTGTGCTGGAAAAGTGTTACTGATTTCTGCTGACAGAAGCAAGGCTGTAAGGAGGAAAATGTCTGCAGAGGTTCAAGAGGGCAGCAAAATAAGAGCTGGATAACAGCAGAGCACAAGACTAATACTGTATGTACAGTAGTAGTGTTGCAGTATTAGGGCAGTATTACTATTTGTGTATTGCTTGACTTTCTGTGTGTTTAGTATTCTGATATTGCTGTGGTATTGAAGTATCACTCCATTTAACTGATGGAAAGCTAAAAAGGAACTTAGAATCTGCAAGAATCGGTAAGAACTGAACTTCAGATCACTATAGATCTCTGCCTTATGAATACCTGTCTCTGCAGAGCTTTGCCAAAAGTGAACAGAAATTCAGTAAAAACAGTAGTCTCAGTTGTGGAAAAACTGAAGATAGAATTCAAAACATTCAGTAGCCTAATTTACACACAGGAGAACTGAACTGCCTAAAAAAATGAAGATAGAGACATGCTGGACATCTGCCACCCCGGAGTAACAATTTATTGACTTTCACCACATGCAATGTGCTTATTAAGTTTGTAAAGCAATATACATGATTGAAAGCATTTCAGATTTCTGATACACCAAATCTGTATGACTCTTTAAAGAAAAAGATACAACGACATAAAAATACACAATCGAGATAATAATTTGCACTTATACAAACATATCATTTGTAGCACAAAGTTTAACACAGCTGCCAGATAAAATACTTTGCTCTTTTTCAGACTTACAATCTTGTTTCATCCCAAACGCGATGCATCTCTGCAGCCGACAATACTGACATCGGTTCCGGTGGTGTTTGTTAATGACACAGTCCTTTGTTCCTCGGCAGGAATAAACTAAATTCTTCCGTATACTCCTTTTAAAGAATCCTTTGCATCCCTCACAAGTTACTGCTCCATAATGACGCCCTGGTTACAGACCAACATAAATCATGACATTAATTTTACAGTGTAATATTATTTTTATAGAGTTTATATTTATTAAAAGCAAAGTATTTGCTATTTTACGCAGAAAAAGAACACTCTTCTTCTCCATGGATTACAGATCTTAAAATATACTAGGGCTATAAAACAACATAAAAAAGCAAGTGAACTGTTTTTCTAGTTCAAAGCACTTTAACAGGACAGATTTTACAAACAGGAAATTTGCTTATCTGTTGACAGTAGTGTTAAAAAAAGCTAAGAAAACAGGTTAGCAAGAATAAAAAAAACCCAAACATTTTCATTTATACATTTCTCTAGCAATTTTTTCAAACTGTCCCTACGGACAAGCCCTGTGATTGCTCATTACAAATTTAGCTGCTGAAATTGTGTGCATTAAATCTAATGGAACCATGGAAAGCACAAAGATGGCATTTGACAGCAGTAGGCAATCACTTCAAAGCTTTACTTTCACCTCTCATTTCCCTAACAGAGTAATGGTACATCCTTCATTCTTTCAGTAAAACTTCAATGAAAGAATAATCTAGAATAGATATAATTTTTTATAACCCCCCCCCCCCCCCAGTTCTGTGGATTTTCTGTATAATATAAAAATTTCTAAGATATACTACAGAAAGTTTTAAAATTATTTTTAGAAGTAAGTTATTTTGATTTTGCATGAAATATAAACATTACTAAAAAGTACTAGTCTTTATTAAGGCATGCTTGGCAATTACAATTTTAATTTATCAATCTCTGAAATAACTAGGGCACGTTACAGAAATAAATCTGAACTATGACCTAATTTAAGATAAAACATATTTTTAGATTCTTTCCTCACTGCTCACAAACATTTTTTAGATACATCAGTCATGTCTGACTGAAGTTTCCAGGATTTCTGATAGGTTTTCTGGATTCCTTTATCATAACCTTTTTACCACACTAATAAAACATGAAATTTCAAAAGCATCATATATGTTAAAAGAATAATATGTGAAACATTTTAACAGCATCTGAACTGTGAATACTCATTCTGCAAAGCACCAAGGCTGCTGCTTCATCTGCTCTTTGATGTAGCTTCTTGGACTCGAGTTTGGAGGCATCTGCAAAGCAGTTTTCATTACACTGCTTGTCACACAGGAGGCTCCCCAGAACCTGCAGCTCCTCAGAGAAACATGGGACCCTTTCCAGACTCATTACCACCGCTCAGTATTCCAGGGCCAGCACAGGAGGAATAGCTCCTGGGATCTCCAGCCCCTCAAGGGAGACTCCAGCCCTCCTAGGGAGTCAGAGAACTTTTAGCAATTGGAGCTGACCAACCAGATCTTTGCCCTAACTTTGGTAGAAACTTCCTTCAGTTGGGTGAAGTCTGACATGTATTTAGAGCTCTAGCAACTGTATCTTTAATGCTAAACTTTGCCACAGAAAAAAAAAATTAATTGGTTTTATTTTCTAGGAAGTTTGCTTCCTGCTGAGGGGAGACCTCATAGCAGTCTGCAGGTTCCTCACAAGGGGAAAAGGAGAGGAAAGCACTGACCTCTTCCCTCTGGTGACAAGACCTGAGGGAATTGCGTGAAGCTGTGTCAGGGTGATTTTTGGTTAGATATTAGGAAAAAGTTCTTTCTTGACCCAGAGGGTGGCTGGGCACTGGAACAGGCTCCCCAGGGAAGTGGTCACAGCACCAAGCCCGACAGAGTTCAAGAAGTGCTTGGACACTGCTCCCAGGCACATGGAGTGACTCTTGGGGATGGTCCTGTGCAGGGCCAGTTGTTGGACTCGATGATCCTCGTGGGTCCCTTCCAACTCAGGATATTCTATGATTCTATGTAAAATTACAATAAATCCCACTCATGGATGTCAGAGTACCATTTAGTTTAATTCTCCACTGAAAGAGAAAACTTTTTGTGCATGTATAGAGACAGAGAGATGTATGTATATGCATGCAAACTGTTATATAGCTTCAGAAGAATTTTAAACTGCTTTTATAAAATTGCACCACCTTAAAAAGAAAAAGAAAGAAAAAAATTAATACCTGATGCCTTGTCTCCACATACAACACACAGATCAAACACTTTATTTAGGCCCTGTTCACTGGTGGAGTTGTCTGTTAAAATCTGAAAAGAAGTGTTAAAGAATTTAATATTTCTTTTCTTTACCATCTAGAAATAGTAAAATCTATCTCATGCTTGTGGTTTTTCTCTAAGATAGGAGACTAAATCTACATTCAGAGACACTAAGTAGCTACGTGCCATGTCACTGTGCTCCCTTTCAGGAGGGAACAAAATTTTTACTTGTAATACCTTTGATAAGAATTCAAGATTTCATTTCTCTAAATACTACTTCTGCAAAATGGACTGACATTTTAAAAAACATTTAGCATCTGCATACTCTTACCTTTTATATTTATATCCTAATGACTCTTCCATAGTACAAAAGATATTGAAGCATGAATGCATACTGAACAGATAGAACAAAAAAAATCCCTTGTGAAGGCTACTATATCTACACTCAGGTTTATTAACTCCTTTTTTTATAATACACATTAATAGTGGACCAACAGAAAACATCTTCTGGACACTATCATTAACTATCAACTGGTATACAGTTTAGCTTTCAGTAACAGTTTGACATTATTATTATTCTTGTCTTGTTTCATTCATTTATACCTGGTAGCTGTAAAGCTTCATTAAGCACATAACATAAGAATCCCAGTACTACAAGGTGGGCACTAGAATCTTCCATTCGATCTCTGAAAACTCTATCCCACCACAACATAAATAAAGCACAGCAAAAAATTCAATTTAAAAAAGGAACACACAAATCACAAGTAACAACCAAACATAATCTTGATACAGAAAACAATATTCTTCCCATTAAAAAGATAATACAGTTTAGAACATTTAAGAGTTTTTAACTTCTACTGTGTCTTAATGAGAAGCCAGACTCTCACTCTTGCTTCACATACTCAGAACAGGACCCCCGATAGAAGGGTAAGTAAACAAAAGTGAAAAGTACCCTATCTTCTATAGAGAAAAATTAAGAAATCATGCTTTTTAGAAAGTTTGGGTGATAGTATGATATATATAGGAAAGTTTAACAAGCATACTTCTTTCTAGTTAGACTTTGTTAACCATATTGCCCTAGAGATTAATCTCTTAACTTTTCTTCTAATAAAAAATCTTTTTAAGAAAAATAAGATTGATGAGTTAAGAGAATATAAACCTTTTGTTCCTTCCAAATTTCCAGTATTAACATTATGCATTTTCATGATATTATATAAAATATATATAAACATATTCTAAGTCCTTCCATAAATGAAACCTGCACTGAAATGGGAAGTTCCACATAAGGAAGGACTAAAAAATTAAGCCCAGGAGGAGAGATAAAAATCCCAGACTCAGAGAGCTCATTAACTGACCGTGAACATGAAGAATAAAAATTGATTATTAACATGAAAAAAACCCACTGAAGGTAAAACAGATGACAGGAGAAAGGGTCTTGCCAAATGAGTCAATGTAAAGATAAGATGCAATAACGGAGAGGTTTTTCTGCAGAACAAACAAATGGGCATTTCAAGTGAAGGCTACAGAAGAAGAAAACAGGTGAAATTGCAGACGGAAGATCATTTGAGGGAGAAAATACAAAAGATCCCAAAGAGGATGTAGATGAACAACAAATGAATGCTACTCTATATTTCATGAACTTTTAAGCAGAGAAAGGAAATCTCTACCCATACATATTAGCTGACAACAGCACAATTTAACTAAAGTGACAGAACACTCTGTTGCCTCTCAAACTAACCTATTTTGCCCAAACTATACAATCAGAACTACTCTTTCAATTTTTTGTCCAGATTTCCTCTGTTCCTGATTTTTGCCTTTTAAACCAGTGTGGCACACTTCTCATCACTTACACCATCTTTGAAAATAATTTTTTATGGATGACTTCAAATCATTTCCCACTGGTTTATATTTTTTTGAGGCTTACCTAAAACACAAAGTGTATGATAACACTAAACACGCTTCAATGCCTCTCAATAGGATTGGTTTTTGCTACTGCTCCCCTATTCACAGTAATCAAATTTTTTGGAGCAAGGACCTTGGATGTCCATTTGCAAAGATTTGCGAGTTTCAAAAACAAAAGTATAATATAATCCAGAGATTCTTTCAAGCTTACACAACATGTGGGTAGTGAATTAAGAGTGGACTACCTCACAGAAGAGCACAAACTAAATGGATTAGGGGTCTTAAGTCAAAAAGAGATTACTTGAAAGAGGATAAAGTAGTGATTTATAAAAAAACCCACACTCTTTAATATTTGTCTCTTATAGTCCAAGAGACATCTAATTAAAAACTTCCCTCAGAAGATCAAATCAACTAAAGTATTCTTTGCACACCATACAATACTACAGGATATTATACAGACCAAAGCATATGTGGTCTATAAGCATAACAAAAAAAGGTTGTTTAACTTTCCTGGCAGCTATCAAATATGATGGACTTGCTGCAGTCTCCAGATCAGGAGGTTGCTCTGTACTGACGGCTAACAGAAGTAAAAGAATATGATCAGAAAGATCATTATTTACTTGTCCAGTTTTTAATATTTTTCCTTAAGCAGCTATTTATGGTCATTGTTAAAGTGTAAGATGAAGGACTAAAGGCACTGTAGCTATTGCAGTGTTGTCTGGCCTACCCCGCTGATGCATTTCACAGCAGCATAAATGTACGTGGGTAAACTATGTGCAGTAGCTACACTTCAGTCGGAGCTCAGTAATCTCCTACTTCATGCTGAAGGAGGTCACATCTCCCAAGTCTTCTGTGCATATTTTTCACATTCTTCACACCAGTGCCATCCCACCCTTGTCAGGCTGAGGATGTGGGACAGAAAGCTTGGAGGTTGGAGGGTGACAACTAAGGAAGCAGCACATACAACAGGCATGGGAGTAAGGTGCACTGGGGACCAGTTTAGGAAATTACAACCCTGGCTAGTTACAATCTCACATTAGTAAACTCAAAATTATTAGTGTTATTTTCCTTGAGTAATTATTAATGTATTTCCCTACTAAATAGTCTGACTAGTTACCATGGAGTACAATTCACAATTCACAGCTGAACTGCAGTTGCAACAGCGTACAAAAAGGAAAACAAGCAGAAGGAAATGTTAAATGATAAAGACAATGAAGAAAAGAGTATGTTGTTCAACAATACATGAAAACAGATGGAGTCGACAAGCAGAAATAAAGAAGGACTGTTGGTGTGGCAGGATCTGGAAATGACAGTAAAAATAACTGTATTCTTTCTAATGTCATGAGTCAGTGTATAAATTTTAAAAGCAATAAATTTACTAAAAAAAATTTCTTCATAATTTTTGAGTATCCACAATGAGTCCTAGTGCAAGGAAAATTATACCTTAAAAAAATCAAAAAAGAAGAACCCAGACAGATCTATTTGGAAATAAAACATCTTTTCTTATCCCATTTGAATGAAAATTATGAAATAAAGTGGATTATCTACCTGGATGTGTTGTGCAGAAATATCAGGGGATGCAAAAAACAGTTGGTTGACACCTGCAGCATCTGGAGTTGCTAGGATAACTTTTCCTGGAGTGGAATCTTGTCTGGCAAGGATCACCTTGCTTGGGGTAGAGCCATCATGATTTGTTAAGATGAACTGCTTGCCTGCTGAGCTCTGATCAAGTGCTGTAACAATCTGAATCTTCTGGCCCGTCTGCTGATCTGTGACAATCTAATAATACATTTATCTCAAATTGTTATGGTAATTTAAGTTAACCTTTGGACCCAATCTGGGCACTTGAAGAAAATGGGAATTTTGCCTTTGACATTTGTGAAGCAGGATCATCATCCCCTCCATCACACAAGAGCGAATTAAACTCGGGTGACAACTTGGATTGTCACTGTATTTGAAACACATTTCAATCAAGTGTGTTTGAAGTGAAAACCTGAGTTCACACTCAATTTTTACAACTGGCCTGTGCTTTTACAACACTACAGAAACTCCTGAAAATTCTAGCATCCAGAACTCAAGGTATGTCTGTAGCTGAGCCCTAAGACCCATCAGGTTATGAAAAATCTTAACTATTGAATTCATTGCATAGTACGTGAAGTGCTCAGCACCTCCTGGGTTTGGTTGCTTAACAAAAAACTTCTTAAAAGCACAAATGTAGATGTTCAAGCGAAAAAAGTAAGCATCAAACAGCAAGAGAAGCACTAATCTTGTTGCACCTGTATATACGTTTTAGGCTTCATTTTGTGGGGACCTTTTTTTTACATATACATTTCTAAATAAAATAAGTAAAACGGAATCTCTGTCCCTGCCATTTTCTTTTTTTTTTTTTTTTTAAGGAAAAACTGCTTTTCATTTAATAATCAAGAACAAACCTACAGGCTGTTTTTTTCCATTTTATCCCTATTTTCAAGCACTAATACAGCAGATTAAATAATTATTAAATAATCCTCCATTTTTGCCAACTTTGTAAAAAGATTATAATCTGCAGAGAAAATCAAGATTCCATATATATTCCATTATAAATCTCACTTTTAGTCCCTTCATTTCTCCATCATAATGCCTACATGAAAAACTGCCTGGTTTATTCTGGAGACTAAGGAGAATCATCCTGCAAAGACTGTTTCCTGCAAACTATTTTGAATTACAGATCAATAAAATAGCTCCTATTAACTTTTTTTTTATCCTATACCCAAACATTTATTTTATCTACCTATCCCTAACATTGATATAGTCCTTATTACTGATGAAATTATTTATTTCATGGTCTAGCACTTACCATAACTAGTTCCATAGTAATTGGGGTGGCAATATTAATTATATTTCCTAGGTGGAGAACCATGGCACAAAGAAACTGAATGAGACATAATTTCACACAAGTCTTTATGAACTTTGCTATTGCACCTTCATAACAGGTTTATTCTTTCTGTAAATGCTCAGTATATTTATATGTGTTTATAAAACCTGTATAGCTTGCATTTTGAAAAGATAAGCAGCAATGAGTATCTAATTTCAGCAGTTATAAAGTAATACTGACACTTTCAAATAGTCACAAATCGTGAGCTTCAAAATATACAAAATGAATGTGTTTCCTTCAGATGGCCTTGTGCTGTTAACATTTTAATGGATCAAATTTCAATTTTTTTCTGTACTAAACACAATTAAAAGCTTACTTAAGAGAGAAGGCCAAGTAAGATGATAAAATTCTAAATACTAAAGAACATAAATTATCATGAGATCTGGGGTGTAGGGTGAGAAGACCATGTAAAAACCCACCAATAATTATCAACCCGATTAATTTTCCATTCAGTTTTCTCAGAGATCTACATGTCTGGGACCACAGATGGCTAAAGCAGTCCCTTATTTCTCCATTTAATTCCTTTACAATGGTTCTATATTCTTTAGAAGGCAACCTTCCTTGCCCTTTTAATTTTCTTCTTTTCTTAACTTCCTTTTCCTTCTTCGGTTTTCTTTCATTTACAATCTTTATTTCTCCTGTGTCATTTCTGGCTATTTTCAAAGTAGCTGATGTTCCATTCCCATTCCTTCCAAACACATCTACTTTACTGGGATTAGGAGAAATCCCATGTGTTATCCTCACTAGGAATGCATATATATACAAAAGCCAAACACAGAATACTGTGTTGTTTCTTGAATTTCCAGACCTGCTCTTTGAAAGACAGTTGTATCTAAAATCTGTCTCCCACCAAATCTTAAAAGCACAACTATGTGTACATAAAAAAAGGCACACACATTTAAGTATATAAAGTATCCTCAAAAAACCAGCATGTCCCAAACAGTGAAGACACAAATTTGAACTACAGATAAACTTTTTTGGGGGATATATATACTAAATTGTCTTTTTTCCTACTGTAGTCCAGCTGTGTAATTTTAAAAAAATATATGAATTTGCAGATAAATATGGCAGGACAGTAGGCAGAAGAAGCAGTGCTACTTCACACAATTCACTTCACCACCTATTTGACAAATGGAGTCCCAACTCTTCAAATGAGTTCCTGCAATTCTGGGAGTATGCCCAGGTAGTTTTTACCACATGATATATTAGGTACAGTGTTATGTTAATATCCATACAAAGCTGTTCCATCTGCACAAATGGTTTCTCAGCTGCCAAGCATTTTATAACTGACAGAGGCATAAGAGTAAGCAATTTAAACAATTAAGCACATTCTGTCTGCAGTTGACCTCTTATGGCCATATACCTGCAAAAACCCCACCCAAGCTGCAATGGGAACTCTGAAAAGTTCACTGAAGTGTAACAACTGGCAATACCTAAATGCTGAGATAAAAAAAATAATCAGAGGGAAAAAGAAAAACACTTATCTTCTCAAGGGAATCCATCTGGGATCAGGAACAACACATTATGTTTCTTAATAATCTGAAACTCAATATTGCTAAAATGATAATGTTATAGAACAGGAATATATCAATTCACGATTGACTGCATAAAAATACACTTCCCTCATGGATTTCATTTAAGCACCCTGATGATAATGGAGGTTATTATTTTCTTTTATTGCTTTCAAGCCTCTTAACAAGTTTTGACTTTCATTTGAAAATCATTTCAGTAAATAAAACACGTCAATAGTTGTGTGTTCCTACTATAGAAAAAAGAAATTGTCTAAATAAAGAGGGCTAATCCAGTTTATAACAGCCTGTTTTGTGCAGAAATGCCTGTTTAATAAATCTGACATTCAGTTTTTCTCCGAGAGAAATGTTAGCATTCCCTAAAAAGGGTGACTAATGAAACATGTTTTAAAGAACATTTTACTGAGTATTCTGTATTTCAAAATTTCAGGTAATTATGTGTATTTAATAATAATAAAGGACAATAAAGGAAAAATATTGATTGAAAAATAATCTAACATTTATTTTGGACATTTCACTTAGATGCATTTATGTCTACACACTTCTTTACTCTTCACATTAATTCTTCACTGAAGAAAGTTTTCATCACTAAGTTTGATACTGGTGACACATCTGTAGAAGTCTATTGCAGGAAGGATGCCATTTGACTGAGTGTTGTTCCACACATATCAAGAGACAACCACCAAAGTGCTTACCATCCATTTTGAAAACAGAATTAATGAGCATGATGGAAAAAGACAAGGAACAAAGTAGCTGGGTTAGTAACAAGTGATCTTTCAGCTACATAAGACACTGAAAAACTACATAAAGGTCTCTGTCCCTAGAAATAGAACTATTCTACGTTCATTATATTTGCAGTAATTACAGTGCCTAACCAAGAGCAGGTCTTCCCCCACAAAAAAGCTGTCAAGAGAAGGGTTAGAAGCCTGCCACTGGCTGTGAACCAATAGCACTGTTCAACAGTAAAGGCTCATAGGCTTGTATGTTGTTGTCTCCCATTCAGACCCTGATGCTGAAATTTTATCAAATGGCTTCACACTACTGGGATATTACAGCATACAAGGAAAATCAAGGGCAAAGAGATGGTGGTTAATTGATGAACATATATCAGTTAATAAAAGGTACAGTTGCACACATAGTGTGAAAAAAGGAGTGGAGATAGCTGAGAGAATAAAGATCGACTGGATAGGTAAGACTGGTACCATGACTAGAGCACAGGATGGGTTGTAATAAAACTAAAAATACCCCAACATGTATGGGGGGTGGTTGTGAAGAGCCTTGGAAGGTTGAAAGCTTGAACATAATGCGCCAAAACAGGAAAAAAACAGAGGACAACGCTGAAGAGTGAAGTCGGCAAAAGAAAAAGCAGCCAAGATTATACTAGAGGCTGGCTCGCTTAAACTGGTGTTTTTGTATGAACAACATATATCTAAGAATACTTTTCACATTTATTCTGCAGTTGATATTTTTCTCTATGATGACAATTAAAAATAAAACTTATACAAGGATTTGCACCAACTTTTAAGGGATAAAATAAAAAAATTCCACTCCCCAAATCTTCCTAAAATCCATATACACATTTGTATGTCAATTTAATTACCTACACTGCCAAAAACTTCACATCCTCACTGGAACTGGAGATTATTACCTGGTCAGGCTATGAACAGGACATATAACATGGGTTGGGACAAGCAAAAACCAGTATCCTCCTCAGACATTAGGTTTCCTTGCACCTTTGCATGACTTGGATCAATGATACAATGCAGTATTTGACTCCCCCACGCTCTAAAATGTAGAAATGCTCCAACTCAATTGAATTACCAAATCTACAAAATATTCAACTTTCAAAGAACAGTATCTTTACAGTATTGGAAAAAGTATTTTCCTGCTCAGTGAATAAAGTTGTTTATAATGTTTAAATTCATGAGAAAAAAAGGGGGACAAAAAATAGAAGATTGGAATGATGTTTTATTTCTTTTTATATAGAAAGGGTCTCTGCCACCCAGGAATGAATGTTTACATTAAAGCAAGTAACATGATGCAAATAAAAAAGAACTGCATGTGAAAACTGGCAGAAGCAAATAGTTCATCTCTGCTTTTAAAATGTACAAGATGAGGCATACCTGTATACGTTGTGATAAAGAGAGGCCTGAATCCGTAGGGACAATCTGGATTCGTTGTGGTGTCCCATCCATTAGTGTTTGTGTAGCAGCTTCCTGTGAATGTGTAACCTAGAAAGAAGAAACAAATGTAATGGATTGACAATGCATATACTATTTTAGTGGATGCACTACCTTAATGGATTAAATCTTAAAGTTTCACCAGCCTTTGATTTCCCCGAACAAGGCTCTGGAAAGTCTGATGCTGCTATTCTATAAGGAATGCAAATGCTTGTAATCTAATTTAACAGCTTAATTTTGCTAGTTAGAAAATTCTGTTTTAAACCCATTTTGAAATACCTTCCAATGTGAAATTTAGAAACACATTAAGTAAAACAATTAATTGCTGACAAGTCTATGTAAATGAATCAAACAATATTTATTGCTGTTGATGTTCATGAGGCACAATACCTATCATCAGAGCTGTGCTACATTTGCACTAAAATACTCTAATGACTTACTTAAAAGTGACAAAAGAATTTTTGGTGTGGAAACACAGCAGTGGGCCATTTCTGTTCTGTTTTTCTGTTACAGCAGCAAAACCAGAACAACAGAATTCTATACTGGGGAACTATCAAGAAAGTTAGAGAAAATTAATAAATCACACGAAATTGGCAAGAAATATATCATATTAAAATCTTTGTGTGAATGCTCTCAGGCACAATTCATGGAAGCATTTTAATTGTCAATATTAAAAAAAAATTCTTCATATCCTAAAGCCAAGGGTATATGGGGAAAGGTATTATTTATTAAATTACTTGTCAATAAAAATTAAGTACAGCTGCTATTTACAGAGGCTTGATCAGAAAGGCCAGACTTTTTGTAGCACAAAGGAAATTTGTCTTTACAGACATCTTCAAACTGAAATTTTTACCTTAAATTCTGGAGTAAGTCCAAAAACTTTTTGCAGTTCACAAATTCTATCTGAAAATCTGTAATTCCCAGTATTGACACCATTATACATATACTCCTCTGCACCTGATTCTCCTTCTGCCCCTCCCAATTAACACAGGGAATATATCTCTATATTGCAGTAAAGTACTGTTGCATAACAGGTTGTGAGCTTTTTTTGTTCCTCTTGGATCAGCTTCCTGATTTTGCAACCATTCCACCATGTCAACGCCAGTCTCAGCAGAAGAAAGCAGGCCAGAATTTGCAGCAGGAGGTTGGTGTGAGAAGGAGACAGAGCAGCGAGTAAGACTTCCCCTTACAGCAGAAATACAAGCTCCCATCAGCCTAAGTTGATTTTGAAATTTTACCCAAGAAGGCATTATTTTTGGCATCAGTCTTATCATCTACTTGCTCCTCTCCCTTCACTTTGGTAAGTAAAACTGGCTGGCTAGTCACACTGATCTGGAATAGGACACCAATGCAGCTTGAAAAGCAGCTCAGCAAACAGACAGACAAAAAAAGGATATTCTTAGCACCGATCAAAGCTTCAATCCAGATCTCCACAATGCTCAGAAGCAGACGCATCAGAGCAAATGAGTGAGTGGGATTAAGCTGCTGGGGGCATTGCTTAAACTGCCAGCACCATCAAAAGACATGCTTGTCAAACTAGTTCTCAAGCCATTTCTGAACACTGCTTTCTAAAATTACCTGATTTTTGTAAGTACTTTCCATAGTCAAACAATTCATCCACTTCTTTGCTTAAGCAAAGGACAAAAAAGTGCTCATTATGCAGCAGCATTTTGAGTTTGAGAGAGAGACTTTCAGGCACTAAAATTCTGCATCAGTCTTACAAAATGACATGTACTCGCAGTGACACAGAAGCAGCTGAAGTTTTATGTGTGTTTATCTTTGCTTTACAAAATAAACCATATATTACAGGACTGCTTTACATTTGCTCCCTCAAAATGTCATGATCTACATGATGTGTAAGGTAAAGTTGCTCTCTAACTCCACAAAATGTCAGCTTGACAATTTTGCTTCATACAGAATACAGTTTTTTATGCAGTTAAAAGAGTACTGATAAAAATAACTGCAATATTTGTTAAAAACTGTATTTTGTATGCCTGTGACAGACTCTGTTTCAACAAATATGTAGCTTTCCTTTGTTACAGTAAACTGGCAGGACTGTGGAAACAAAACCCCATACACTTAGTATATAGCCACAGACTGAAGAAAGAAGAATGCTGCTGCTCTCAGCAGGTAACTTCCCTACATGAATCAAGGAATGTGATCTTGATGCAGAAATAGGAACTATCTCACACTGAGCAAAAGACAATTAGCAAATGGCAAAATTTCAGAAAAGACAATCATTGCACAATGCCCCTTACAGGCAGAGTTGTATTTTGCTTTAATGTTTTGCTTTTATGCAAAAAAGCCCTAAATTAACAAAAGCATGTTTGTGAACATCACTGTAAAATAATTTGTGATAATTTTGTGATTTAAAATGCTTCATGAACAATTAATATTGTAAAAAAATCAATTACTATGGCACAGAACACTTCTGACCATTATTTCAATGAGACAATAGCATTTTCCATTCTCCTCAGAATGGAAATACCTGTCTTTTTCTTTTCATGTTCTACTCATATAAATTTTTCTTGTAAATTCAATTAAAACTACTACAACATTCAAGAGAATTACAAATGCTAGCAAAAATACTGCTGAAGTTCCATAGATCTTAAACTATGATTTTTCAGTGCTTACACGGATCAGGAACACGACCAAGCAATTACAGCCTGTGGGTAGATAGGAATGTAAGCTATTACATGAAGGCTTTGAGACTGCTTTCCTTGCTGACTCCACCTTTCAGGCAGCACACTCATACACCTCTGACAGTACTTTCGGCTTAAGGAGTCCCTCCCTTATACGGCCCTGGGTGATGCTTTTCAGTCCTTCCACCCATGTGCCTGGGTGGTTGCACATTGTACAAAATAAGGACAGTGATCACAACTGGGAAGGAGGCAAACCTTCCTCCACTATCCTGCAATTCTTTTTTTTTTCTAGTTTTGTACACCACACAGTGACACACAGAACTCACATGGGCATGACTAGCATGGCATGAGAATAAATGGCTAAGTGAGGACTGGGGAATGCTTAAGCCGCATTGCTGCCAAATACGGTGTGACGGTCTCAGACACAGTAAAACCTTGCTAAAGGACAAATCCTAAGCCACACTGCTGACAAAACAACAGCCATGAAAACTGCAGAGCTGCAATTTCACCAGGAACAGAAACAGCCAAGAGCTCTCCGCAGCATCGCACCTTCACTGCCTCCATCTTCCCCCCTGCCTTCCTTTGGCTATCAGCCATCTCCTTTACGCTGCCTCCGGTACACATTAGAGCCTTCTCACACTTACTCAGTGCTAACACAGCAGAAAACATGCCATATGTTTTGACTGAGTTATTAGCTTGCTGTTAGTATGGAAATTAAATAAGGTAAGAAACAGAGGAAGGACCCTCTGTCTCCTATGGCACTGAGATGTTAAGTCAGCTCAGTGTCTCATGGAATCACATTATGAAATTGAGAAGTAACTTTCACAGTGGCTAAACACTGTCATCATGCCACCCTCTTTTCTGAGTGAAATGTACACTTCAGTTAGCTTTGATTAGCCTGGTACTTTCAAAAAGAAAAAATTTAAACAGGAAATACAGCCCTATTCCTTCCACAAGAAATTATATTCCCAAACCAAAACTACACTAGACATACATTTTCACCTAAAAAGAGGACAAGTAATGAAAACATCATACATCACATAAATCCTGTATGTTTTTGAGAGAGCCTTAGCAACACTCAGATGCTTCAACTGCAAAAGCTGTAAGAAAAAGCTGTAAGAATTTATTCAGAATAGAATTAACCATCCCACCCCCTGCTCCAACCTTTCCATTTGAAATCAAGACCAAGAGGAACTAAAATTACTTGAGAAGTAAGTCTATGTCTAGACAAGAAATCAAGAGTGGATATTTCCAGCTAAAAATACCATTTATTTTAAGATAAATTACTGGCTCTATCTAATTTAAAGTGGTGATAATTATAAATAGCCTATCCTATGCTACGATCCTCTAAATAAGTACATATACCCATATTCATACTCCGAAACTATCTGTGCATCTCTAGTTCTCTGGTTGCAGTACATAGGTTCTGCACATGGGTTACAGAGAATGAAAACTAGAAGTCTGCAGAAACAAGAGTCTTCAGTCTTCCTTTTTGACATATACCAAACACCAACAACCTTTACATGGCAAACCTTTATTAGTGAAAACAAAAATGACAACTGAAGCAGTCGCATAGTTGGAAAGTAAAAGCTACGTACTGACTTCTGTAAATAGAAGTGAGTAAAGCAATTACACAACCAGATGGCTCTCTGAAAACCACTAGAGACCAAAACAGCAGAGCTGAACAGTTAGTCTCTTACTGGAAACACTACTAGATTTTTCTTAATTTCTGTGGGGTAAACTTTGGTAAAATAGACTTGGCAGCATAACTTAAAACAGACACAGTAAGTTCTTCTAGCCTTCCAGGGGAGAGTGTCAGAAGCTTTGGCTGTACTAGAAATTTTCTCTTGTGAGTTTGGTTTTTACATATCAGTCTGTACATTTTATTATTCGATTTCTCTTAAATAGGACTCAAAATTTATGTACCTCTCCCATTTGCTGTTCAAAAATTTGATGGGCCAGTTCCTCTATGGTTGCCATGATCTTTAATCACCAGAATTTCCTGTCAAAGAAAGGAAAGAAGATGCTTAACATCTGTAGTCTCAAAAGTAAAAATATCTTGGGGAACACAGTTCACGGAAGTGCATTTACAGTTTTCTGAAGATGACATCCCTGCAGAATTTAAAGTTTGATTATACTATAAAAGTAAGAATTTATTTTCTATTTGTTTTACTCATAGAGAATTCCTATTTTTTTCTTCTGCTTTCCCAAAGAGCAACAATATAATACAATTCCTGTGAGAACAGAAGCCTATCACTGACCATGACATCCACAGGGACATATTTAACACCTTAAAAAACTGGAACATGGACAGTTTTCTAATGCAAATCAAGAGGGGCAAACCTAACTTCTCCTGAAGTCATACTGTCTTTTTATTATTAACAGGAGTGCTTGAAGGTTGACTTTGGAACTAATGGGAAGCACTACTTGGGACGCAGAAAATACATGTTTTAAAAAAACGATGCTGTTTTGTTCTCAATACTGTAGCTACAGCACATGCTGTAATCTTCATAAGAAGAATTTTGTAGGGTTTAACAGACACTATTCCATTAATGCAGTATAAAGGACTCAGATGTATGCCTTGTTTATTTGCGTATTGACATACGAATAGTCACTAGGCAGTACGTGAACATGCACAAACTATGGAGCATCATATAAACACAATTTTACTGACAAAAGCTGCACTGAAATTACTGCAATACCTACTTCTTATAAGAACAAAGACAGTACTCTTATACTAATACAGATAGTTGGTTTACACTCTAACTTTGCTAGAACTTCTAGGAACTATCTCCTACCCCAGTGATCTCTAAACTTCCTCAATCAGCCATGCAAATATAAAAAATATAAAAATATAAAAAACTCATTTTGAAGCTAATTCTGCCCTTAAAATTGGAAAGAGAAATCTCTTTTTACTAGGCCAGAACTGCAGGCCTTGGAGGTGTGCACAGTGGGGAAATACAGAAATATTTTGGCACTGTAGACTGTTCTTAATCGCTCACTAGCATGCTGCATTGTTAGTTAAATTAAGACAAAAGATGACAGGCACACACATAAAAAAGTATAAGACTGGAGCTTATGCTGAAAAGCATTATCTCCTAAAAAGATCTAATAAGTGGCAGCATCCTTGCAGGAGCACTCTATTAAGCCACTTCTGCATCCAGTGAGCTGCAGTACAATCACTATTCAAAGAGCACTCTACAATTTTCAAGACAGCCAATGTGTTTTATCAATGTTTTCTTATTTCAAATAAAATACTAGCAACAAAATATTGCACTGTTAACACACACAGGGCCAGAAATTGGTACTATTTTGTTACAAAAAAAAAAAAAAAACCAGAAAAAAAAAAGACTTAATGTCTGAAAAGAAAATTAGGGCACTATTTAGTAAGAAACGCACTTTTGGGCAAGACAGATATAGTTTTTGCAAAGTTATTTCAAAGGAAGACCTTACTGCTTCATAACAATTTGACATACCAGAAATATTGTGCATATGGTAATTCTTCAAAAAATTAAGAGTAAACTAAGTAAAATGTTGACATTCTAGTCTGATCTCAGAGCTGATCCCATTTTGGGTGGGGTTTTGGACTAGAGATCTCCTGATGTCTCCTCCCACCTGGGATATTGTACAACTCAAAGATGTACCATTTTCTTAAGCTACAACCATTTTCTTAAGCTTAAGAAACAACATGAGTTGCTTGCAATTACAAAAAATCCCCTATTTTTTTAAAAATTAGTTTGATTTGCAAAATGTTTTGACTGCTTCCATTTAGGTCTACTGTGCAGATATTTTCAAGGACACAATAAACCATTATCTAAAGTTTTACTTCATTACATGTCTAGTTTAAAGAACTATGCACAAGAAAGCTTATTTTGTGTAGTTTAAACTAATTTTATGGAAAATACACGTTCCCTTATCTCCACCTGTTGAGACAGCAGTAACATCTTCCATTTTGCAATTAGTCTCTAGCACTTTCCCCATTACTTTCCTGAAACAAACCAGATTACATATTATTTTCCCATCAGAAAAGCCTGTAACAAAGCATGATTATGACCTCCTCAATTTTAGCCATATTTACCAACAGAGCCTACAGCTTTACCTTTATTTACAGCTTTGCCTTCATTTTATGCTTTTCTAAAACTCCTGCAGAATTAACATGTTCCAACAAGAATACTTAATACTAATTATTATTGCTATAGCTGTGTTGCACTAGCTCAGCAGCAAATGTTAATTAACAATGCCATACAGTGAAAAGTTTGGCTAGTGAAAGCTACAGTCAAATACTGAGCTTGCACAGGAGGCAAAATCTGGAAAACTACTTTTACAGAAATTGACTCGGACATCAGGAATAACACAAAAAAAATCTTATATCTGTGGCACTGCAAAATTATAGTTAAAGATTCTCTTTAATGTTCTCTGTCATACGATTACTTCAAATTAACATAGTAACACATTAATATTTTGGCCACCAAGTCAGTAAATGAAAGAGTGAGGTACCTAATTTCTTCAAGCTTCTCCTGCTACCTTATTCAAAACAATTCAGTCACCAAAATGGCCAGCCCTGATCTGTCTCATGGCCTGAGCTTTCAATATCTCTCCCTGTTCCCACTACTGATACATCTGTGACTTTGCAGCCAACAGCAAAGTGTTATTTTTGTCAGTGTTAGTTCTCAGCCCAAGGAATGACTTGCCCTTGCTATACATTACCCTGCAAATGCTACTGCTGTACCAGTGGTGGAGGGGAACTGTAGGTCACACCTTTCCACAGCAGCTGCAATTTACATCATCTTAAGCCATCTGAAGCCTCCCGTGCTTTCCCACAGCTCTGTAATTTGTTGTGAGATGAGCCCTGGAGCTTAGACACACTTATTTTTAGATCTTACAGAAAACCTGGTGAAGAAACAAGAAACAGAGAATGGAAAAAAAAGCAACATACAGCCACAGGTGAAGTGGCCTAGCACAGACTGCCGCTCCATAAGCTGAAGTACTCTGCAACTTGGAGATTGGCATTGATCTATCTTCTTGCTTTGCTATTTCTAGAAAGGGTATGATTTTCTAATTATGAGAAATGTAAGTCAAAGCTACTTAAAAACAGTGAGGAAGATAGTGCAGTTGCAGAAGTTTCACACACATATGCTTACTTACAGATAAACTTTGTATTGTCTAGTAGAAACACACTTCAGCACAGATCTTTCAACTTTTCAGCCTCAGTAGTTAGCCCTCCAGCAGACAGATACTGAACTTTTCAAGTCCTAACACAGAACTAAATGGTGTCTCATCTTTGAGATGCTGAACTTTAAGCTCCTGAGCTTGGAATTTGTGTTCTTTGCCAGATTGCCAAATCCTCACCAAGAGCATAGGTAGAATTTGTACTGGTTATGGCAGAATTCTGTTTTGGTGCTGACACCTCTCTGCAACAAGATCTCTCTCGTGAGCAAGACAAATAGCTATGAGAGCAGGTATTTTTACATTATTAATTCAGGGTTATCAAACAGCACTAATAAAATACCGAAAATACTCAGGTCTCTCAAATCCAGAACTGGCCATAAGTATCCTTTATTCTTAGAAGCAATGTAATTATATTCTGATTTACTCCTAAGAGCAGTGGAAGTGGTTCTCTAAAAGAGATTCCCTGACTTGATGCTGTATTTTTGCAGGAATCCTAAATTAGAGATGAGAAAAAAGCAGGAAGGAATTTGGAACAGAATAGTGTGTTATCCAATCACAACCTCCAAGATGTACTCAATTGTAGCAATAATCTAAAAACTCCCAAAATAAATTAAATTAAAGAAAACTCAAAGGGCAGTGGTAAGCAAATCTTCTGACAAACTGTTTAGAATCAAACAGCTTTAAAGGTAATGCTTCTTAAATAAAAACCTAATGAAATTACAATGGACTTTGAAAGCCTGACTAGATTAATATTTCCTAAATAAGTGATGTTCCTATCCTTCCCCAATCAGAAAGATTTTATTGGTCAAAAAGATTTTCTTTGAAATATAATTCTCAGAATTAAAAAAGAGAAATCTGTGTTCACAGGAGTTTTCAAACCCAAGTATTTCTGAACTTGAATTCACGAGCTATGAGCTTCAAGTATGAATCTCATACATCTCAATCCTGTTGAGACACAAAAACCTCAAACAAAAAAAGCTTTTCAATTGCTTATCCAATCATTCTGTTCTGCTAGTTAGATCATCCTGCAGCTCTGAGGCACACTTCTACAGCATAGACTCAGTAAGAAACAAAGATTGACCTTCAGAATCAAGAGGTGTGTGCTTCAAGGAATTACTTTGCACCTGTTACTTAGTTCTGCTAAAGCAGATGCAACTGCCCTCATGGCCAAGATGTATTTCAAGTCAGCTTGAAAACTGAAAGTGATTCAAACTGACATGTTTTACCTTGGAGTGAAGCAGTGAAGGAATACATATGTATTCAACTGTGAAGCACCAGTCATAGAGAAATTAGCTCTCAGAGAGGCATAAACCATTACAAGTGAATTTTTGAGATTTATCTAAAAGAGACATCTGCTTCTCATTTGAACTAGACTTGCATGAACACAGGATTTCAAGTACACAAACAAGACTGAACTCTTACAATGAAAAGGAACCTAGAGAAAAGGTTGAACCTGTCCTATCTCTTCATGTTGTCTGGAATAAGCACAAAGAAATTCAACCTATGGATGCAAAACCAACTGTCAAAGCTGAACAAATCATCTGAGCATGAGCATGTGAGGCATGCACACGATGGAAAGGAACATACTTGCAGAGTATTATTGACAAGAACTGACATATTAATCACACGATGTTTTATATTTTGACACTTGCAATATCAATTTGCTTAAACATTCAGTAGTAGGTTCTTTTGTGTGTTGTGGCCTTATTTAACTTGGTGATCTCTAAACACAAAGGCACCGACAAAGCCAGTAACACCAGCACTCTGTATTAAAATATCTTAATTTAAATCACCTCCAATAAACCATGTGACCTTGCTCCGAAGAGTATATATAACAGTGAAAAAACTCACCAACTTCAATATTTCAATTACAAACTTTTAGGCAGCATTTCATGTTGCAGCCCAACTACTGAAATGGAGAGCTGAAAAAGGCATTCCTATCCCATTTCCAAGTCAGTCCAAGCAACTAAACTAACAGAAAGCTCTTTCTTAGTTGCAGAGTCAGGGTATAGTTTCAAAGGCAGTTTGAACAGAATTATAGCTGACACCCAGGAAGGAGGTCATCCTGACCAAGTTGTGCTGGTTTTGACCACATACTAGGAAAATTCAACTCACTAAGACAGAAAATTCACCTGGCAGAAATGCAGCAAACATCTGCTAGGTAAGCACACTGACCTGATTTACCTGGCAGTCAGATTCATTCTACCACAAACAAAAGGGAGAACATGTTGTAAGAAGGTAAGAGAAGGAGGAAAAGAGGGGAGATTAAGAATGAGGCAAACCTCCATTTCCATTGTTGTTGTTGGGAAGCTGAAAATTCAGTTGAACTGCATGATAAAACTGTACCCTTTTCTTCTGGCCCAGCCAGCTGTCCAATGCAGCTCACCCTGGAATCAGACAAGCTGCACAGCCAGTTATGTTGAAGCAGCAATGCCACCTCTTTGAGGAGCAGCCATGTGCTGTGCATCTTGCCCTGGGGACAGGGCACCAGGACAGGTCAAGGGGAACTGGCTATCTAAAAATTCTAAGCTAACTCTGGGACAGCTGTAAGAGTTTTGCAGCTCACATTTTGCTTACCTAAGGTATCTGTTAGACTTCACATCAGCTATGCTTAATTACTCTTTAGAGATCCCTGCAAGGAATTAAGCTGGAGAAAAATGCTTTAGCTATTTTTCTTCTATGTGAACTTAAAAATTTAGCACATTTTTCATGTTTTCAAAAGTTTCTTTCCCTGAGTTGCTCCAGCCAACATTCTCAAAAGCTGAATTGTTTCATATGAAATGATAAATATATTCTAAACTCAAAGCTACCTGGAAGTGAGAAATAATCCTTTAACACTTTATTATAAACCTTCATTTTCCAGCAAAGACTTGGTAGATGAGGAAAAGGCCATGGATGTTGTTGATCCAGGCTTTAGTAAAGCCTCTGACACCATCTTCCACAGCATTCTCCTGGACAAACTGGCTGCTCATGGCTTAGACAGGTGCACTGTTCCCTGGGTAGAAAACTGGCTGGATAGCCAGGCCCACAGAGTGGTGGTGAACAGTGCTACATCCAGTTGGCAGCTGATCAGCAGTGGTGTTCCCCAGGGCTCAGTATGGGGGTCAGCCCTGTTTAATATCTTTACTGACAACCTGGAAGAGAGGATCGAGGGCACCCTTGGTAAGCTGACAGATGTCACTAGGCTGGGCAGAAGTGCTGACCTGCTGGAGGGTAGGAAGGCTCTGCCAAGGCATCTGGACAGGCTGCATCACTGGGCCAAGGCCTGTGGGTTCTCACTGGCTGCTGGCTGAATGGGAGCCAGCAGCGTGTTCAGGCGGCCAAGAAGGCCAATGGCATCCTGGCCTGTATCAAAAATAGTATGGCCAGAAGGACTAGAGCTGTGACTGTCTCCTTGGCCATGTACTTGGCCATGGTGATGCCACACCTTGAGTTCTGTGTCCAGTTCTGGGCTCCTTACTACAAGAAAGATGCTGAGGTGCTGGAGCGTGTCCAGAGAAGGGCAACGGAGCCAGTGAAGGGTCCGGAGCATGAGTCTGATGAGGAGTGTCTGAGGGAACTGGGATAACGTGGAGAAAAGGGGGCTCAAGGGGAACTTACTGCTCTGTACCTGAAAGGAGATTGTAGCCAGGTGGGAAGCAGCTACTTCTCTCAAATAACAAGGGACAAGACAAGAGGAAACTACCTCAAGTTTAGATTGGACATTAGCACTGAAAGGGTGGACAGGTGTGAGAACAGGCTGCCCAGGGAAGGTGGAATCACCCTTCCTGAAGCGTTCAAAAGGCACATGGATGTGGCACTTAGGGATATGGTTTAGCAGTTAACACAATCGTGCTGGGTTAACAGCTGGACACAATGTTTGAGGTTTTTTTAACCTTAATGATTCTGACTTTAACTATCATCACAGTCTGAGTTTTGATCTTCAATAATCAAAAGTGATCTTTGAGGTGTTCTCATCTAATGTGAATCTTCCTGATTTCAGACATGTTTTCCACACTTGTCAAAACATGCCACACATCTTCAAAGCACACACCAGGCAATATATGAGGAATGTTTATTGCTAGTATAGGAAAGAAGTAGATTGCTAGTATAGGAAAGAAGTAGATTGAGTCAAATAAGTGATAGTTTCTTCCCTGAGAATGCTTCATTCTCCTTTCAAAGGTGATAAACCAAAAACTTTATCCAGATGCTTAAGACTGCTAATCACATTTGAATTTCCTTTCTAAAGTTATCTAAAACATTGAAGGGATGAGAGCTGGAATTCTAAAAGAGAGTAGAGAACACAACATGAAAAAATTGCACATACTTTAAGGATCTTCTTTATAATGTCCAAGAACTGTAATATACTATTACCACAAGAGAGAAAGGAGAGCCAAAGCTCCTGTCAATACATCAAGGACTACATTGTTTACAAACATTGCCCAAATATTTTTTACTTCATTTATCTCTCACTTTGAATACCTTGCAAAAATTATTTACTTTGCTCAGTTTCAACCAGCAAGTCTTTATTTGCTTATAACTAAAGTATTTCTTAATTGCTCTACTGGTTTCCCTGTTTCACATCAGACTTAAGATCCTTGCCTTTTACCACAAAGTTTCTGAAAAATGAAGTGGTAAGAAATGCTTTTCCCATGGCCATTTAGCTAATGACACTGTCCCAGCTTAAGCTCTAACTTCCTTCTATAACTTTTTGCAGATCTACCGCTAATATTTGAAACACTGTAAAACTACAAAACAAACATTAAATTTCTTACATTTT